GCTCTGTATCTTCCAACACATGGCCATACTATTGCCTGACAATAGCCCTTATAATACATTGGCACGCATAAGGTTGAGGCTTTGCACTTTTAAGATATTCTAAAAATATTGCAAAACATTTTGTACGCGTTTCAAAACATTAGTACCCACATGTAGCTACTCTTGTTTAAAGGGGCACTGACACCCCAAGGTTTTTTTGTTTTTTTAGTGTCTAGAACGATGCAAGTTGTAGTCGTAGACACGCAAAAAACAAAAAAAGCAATAAAAACATTTTCTTACGCGCGCGTGCGCCTTTTTATTTTTGCCGCTTTCCTCTGCCGCTCTTCGCCTCCTCGCTTCTTTTGATCGGTGACATCAAAAATCAAGAAATTTAGAAGCTTTGTAGGCGACACTTCTATAACATTTAATAACGGCAATCGTAAAAGATGTTTTTTAACGCAATTGCGAACGCACTGTACGGCCCTTCTTTTTGAAATACCGAAAATCAGAGTTCGGTGTGATGTCGTCTCCTAGATTTGTATACTCCCTGTGAAAACATGCTGCCTGGGCAAGCGACACCGCTGAAAACAGTTCTTTTTTTCGGTCCGCCGGCACCCTCATCTGCCGCTCCTTTCCACCTTGCCTTGGGTCGCGATGGCAGCAGCACGGAGTTATGAAAGAAAGTGGACTCTCAGGACTCCGCATTATTTGACATCAGCGCACTGGCGCGGATCGCGCGGGAACTTCGAATTCGGCATTTGGAAATTGTATTTTTACTTCACAAATACTGAATTCTAAAGTTTCGAATTTTGAGAGTAATGTCCCGGCATCGTTTTCGGTCGTTTCGGATAATTAAAAAAATTATTTTGATGTGTCAGTGCCCCTTTAAGATAAATCTCTTCAAATGGTTTTCTTTTTTGTATGTAAATCTAACATATTTTTTAAAAGCTGTAGACCAAGCGAAATACGTATCATATGCTGTCTTCGTAACTGGTTATGTTTAAGGAGCACCTTCCATGACTTCAAACAAACCAAAGACCACATTTGGGCTCATATTCTGAGGCTGTTCTTTCCTGCCAAACTTTAGTAACATTTATCTGAGCAAAATGATAAACAAGTTACTATTACTTTATCAGCCATTTCTGCCTGCAAAAGATGCCTATATCGGCACACCACGTGAAGAGTTATGGGATACTTTGTAATGCAGAGACGCATTATTTTGTTACTCAGAGGGAAAATTGTGATGGTTACTCCATTGTAGGTCTTGCACGTGAAGTGTTCCCTCACATGCACAGCAGAAGTTAAAGCAAGCTTTTATCCCTCTCTAAATTCCTTTGTGACATGCTTCCGTTACAACGGAAAAAGAGCACAATAAGACTGGGACAAGAAAGGAAGAAACAAGACAAGCGCTCACTACCGACCAGTTCATTCAGAAAAACTGCCTTCCTTTCTTTTCTCGTCCCTGTCTTAATGCGCTTTCTTTGTTGCAGTCACAAACCAACTTGTCCAGCAAAGCGTTTTATTATGCTTTCGTTAGCTGCCCTAAACGCTATCAACAGATAAGCCCCAGCCTTGCCTCGCTCATGGCTTATGCAGGGTGCTGCAGAACAGGTAGAGGTCGACTTTGCACCCGCCCCTGCTTTTTCAGTAAGGACTGTGCACCTTGTGCACAGTCCTTACTCTCAGTGCACTTGCTAATTTTTTACTCACATCGCCTATGAGCCTTAAAGTGATATGTTTATACTACCAGAAGTAGACAATAGCAGCAGCAGCCTACCCTGCCACTCCACTCTCTAGCTCTCTCCCTGGCAATATTTTAGGTTCCTCCTGATGGCTAAAATAATTTTTGAATGCAATGGTCTGCATTTTGTGGTGTCCATCTGTAACCTGATGCATCATTAGAGTGTCTACCAACCTGGAATTCTCGGGGAATTCAGGTCATTTGGAAAAGTCGGAGAATTATCAGGTTAAATTATCAAAAGTAAATTATTTTTGCGGTGTTTCGTTCATTTGGAAAGTCAAAAAGCGAGCAAACTAGGCAGCGGAAAGCTTTGTAAAGTTTCATTATCAGGTTTTCCTATAACGGTCAGGTTTGTCGTTGAAAAGCCGCGTGTTTTCTTTAAAGCTCGACTGCGCATCGCGACTGGGCCGCTCCCTCCTTGGGATCAACGTGCAGTATGCTGAATAAGGAAGGTTGGTGTTCCAGCCATTGACCATGAGAGAACTCTTTGAAAGGCACACGGGGCAACATACGAGGTCAGAGGTGATAGATGCACTCTCGCTTCAATCTCAACGTCCGCCAGGTATGCAGCGTCACGACAGACGACGGTGCCAACATGGTGAAAGCTGCGATTCCTCGGTGAAATGAACAAGGTATGTTCCAACTCTGAAAAAGGAAGTCGGCTATAGTGACCCTGAAGTTGAGTCGCACGCTCTACAATCTCTACTGAAGAATCCTGAGAGCGCACTTTCTGATGATTCTGGCTTGCTATAAGGGATCAGGTGCGCCGCTTATACGCTGCATCTGGCAGTTAGCGACGTCTTGAAAGGCTCGGGCTGCTGGCACATTGTTGAAGAAAGCCGTGCGCTTGTTAAAAGACTACGTGTCCAAACTGTTAAGTCCTCGATCGGAAAGCTAGGGTTGAAGAAACCAGTGCTGGATTGTCCAACGCGGTGGATGTCCACGCTGCATATGCTCAACAGGTATACTTGAACTAAGAGGCTTCACTGGATGGTTCCTCTCAAAAGAAGAAAGCTCCAGGTGGACTGAAGACGTAGAGGCGGAAGTCGAAATGCTCGCAGTATCGCTTCGCCCGGCAGAGGTGGTGACAAAGACATTGCAGAAGGAACAGCTCACTGGAGGAGATTTCTACGGAGCATGGCTGGGATGTTCCATGGAGACTTCCAAGATATCATCGCAGTTAGCAAAAGCCTTGGTCCAGTCAATGAAAAAAGGGAGCGATAACTTTTTGACACGGATGTCTTTGTGCAACAGTGTACATGAATCCCGTTACCACCTTCTTCTTACCACTAAGGAAAAGTACCGGGCCACATTGCATTTGACAAAGACTTGGAGGCGGATCACAGCTCTGCAATGCGAGCAAGATTCTGCCCTTCTGAAACGTCGGCGGCTTCAGAAGATAGGGAAGACGCCATGGAGCGCTCCTCAAGGAAAGAGAGGTGGAGGCTGGCGGGTACGTTCGAGATTGTAGCAGCCCACTTGATATAGCATGCCTCCTGGAAATGCTAGACAAGTTGCCGCGGCTTTCAAGGTACGCTAACGTGTTGCAGTTTTGGGAGAGACGGGAACGCCATCCAGAACTCTACGCATTGGAGCAAGTAGCGCTGGGAGTGATTGTGACCCAGGTCAGCGTGGAGCGAGTCTGTTCTGTACTGGAGTTCATTTTATCGCCTCAGAGGTGCCGTCTTTCCCCGGATATGCTTGACGACGTCCTGCTTCTTTGGACAGCTGCCTGACATTGAACTGCGCTTTCACCCACGTCCCGAGGTGCCTCAGCACTTGCTCGTTCGTTCCAGAGTGATGTGAGCCTTTTATTTTTCCATATAACACTTTTATAAAATATGCATAGTTTATCTTTTGCTGTCGTCAACTGTTTTTGTAGCATATGAGTATGAACCGGTTCGAACCGGTTTGAACCTTTATTTTTTCACTCCGGAGTTGAACCGGAGCTGAACCGTTTTCCCTGAACCGGAACGAAAACTGGAACGAAAAACATTTCGGTTCGACACCCTGGCGAGCGGTGAATGACATTCGGTCGAAATGACATTTACTTTCCCGTCTGACAGGGGTATTATTTAGTGACCAGCTCATTTAGTGGCTCTAGTCCGGACGAAGGAGGAACCTCGCCGATAGGCAAAACCGATCTTGGCGGCAAGCGAGTGCCGCCGTCCGTGCCAGCTCGAGAAAAGAAAGCAACAACAAATGCTCTTGGGGGGGGGGGGGGGGGGGGGGGAGGGGGAGGGGGAGGGGGAGGAGGGAGGGAGGGAGGAGGGGAGAGGTGCTTGGGATGCTGGTGTCGCCATCTCGTTGAATTTATTCAAAATACATATGTACATCAAATTCATTTACACAAGTACACAATTACTGCAGTAATTAGTCTTCTTCCATTGGTCTTCAAATTAAGATTGGAAAAACCTCTGGTACATACTACCATACGTTTTGCCACTTTTTTTCTTCTAGGTAACCTTAGTGTTAAAATTGCCTCATCAGACGCCCACTGAGGCAGACTAACTCCCGGCTGTATAAACATACAATTTTTATTGAAAATGCGCTCAAAACAGTTCATATCTCTCGATTTTATTAACCCTTTAAGTACCGTGCCCGAGTATACTCTGGCACGCTTCCGTGCAACTTCCTACCACTTGACAGCTAAACTCGGGCTGCCAAAACGTTTGTGTATCACAACTAATGGGCAGTCAACAAAAACAGATTTGTGCTGTATGATACATACCTGCTAACGGCTTGTATAAACTTTATTCAGGCAACTTTGCTAATCTGTGGGTCCGAGCTTTCCCGCACCTGCGGGAAAAAAACCTGGCACTTAAAAAGTTAAAGACCTCTTTCGGTTTGAGGCGTCAAAGTGAGGGCCCGTACGATCTTCATTACGTTTTCATAATCAACCTCCAAAACAATCAATATTCTCGTGCATTCCTGAAACTCACGCGCGTGCGAAATTTTCTCATTGAATGGCAGGCGTCTGGATCCCCCTTAAACGCCTTACAAATGACAAAGGGGTTGCCTTTCCGTTTGAGTTCATCACACGGCGTCAACCCCTGCCTATGTTGACATTTTCATCGAATTACATTATCGTCTTTCGATTGCGCTCACTAAGTTTCAAATCGAAGCCGCGTGCCTTTTTGTCGTTAATTCAAAATTAATGAATATATTTTAGTTTGTTATTTAGCTATTTTGTATGTTTTTCGTAATTCTTGACTTCCGCCGTGGCAGGCACTTTGTTGCCGGAAGGATTTTTTTTTTTTCAACCTTGGTATTGATAGGATTTTTTTAATGTCTTTGTCCGGTATGTTTTATTTTCATCATTTGTTCTTGCTGCTCAATGCTGTTCGGTTCCAGGGAAGCATGCAGGCAATAAACCTGGAAATGAGAAAAGCGCGAACTAGGCTCAACAACACGCACAGGAATGTTTTCATATAATGGCACACTTCTTATAGCCGGTCATTGTAGATCATGCTGTGGTACAAAAAAAAAGGTTGAAGCAAGAAGCACAAACAAAAGCCTTATATGGGAAAACATAATCGTGAAGATGAGAGGTAACAGGCTCAGAAACAAACTACGAGATATAAGGAAAAGCAATAACAAACAAAAGCAAACATCCCAAGGCACTTTTTAAATATCTAGTGCTTTATAAATACTTTTGCGTTCAGTTGTAACTAAAAGGCTGCCTGCAGTCTTTTAGTTACAGAGAGTTGTATACCTCTTGATGGCATGTAAAAACCATTATTTATGAAGATAGAAAATGTGACTAAAGACAGTAATTCTTAATACCAGGATCTGGGGAGATGTCTTTATGAAGAACAGTATATTCTTAGAGAAAGCCTATTACTTTTGACGTAATTATACTAAACGCTCTGATTGGCGTTCCGGAAGTTGGCTATATTACTTAGTAAAGCAACTTCTTGAAGACAAAGGAGAAAGCATATTGTGGCTTTATCGCTTTTAAAACCAAATACTAGGTTACTTTGTCTAAGAGGAAAAATATCTTGAAAAAGAGACAAAGCGGGGGAAAAAGCACGACATTCCGGGTTTGCCCACACCAGGTATGGGCAGCGCACGTCGGCAGAAGCCAGATTCGCGTGAACTGAAGCGTCTGCTCACGCGTGGCGTCACAACTGTGTAATACGTAACGTAAATTAATTTCCCCTTTCCTCCCCAAGCAAAGCTCCCTAAGCCGAACATAGAAAGGAAAAAAAAGGGTCGCAACACGCCGAGTAGAGAATGTGCCTAATCATATCCAAATTGTCTAACCTTTGAAAAACATTGGGAAGGTACTGGCAGAAGTAGAAAGTCATCAGCACCGGGTTGTCGCAGATCCACGCTTCGTCGACTTTGTTAGCGATGGCCACGGCGATGAGTTGGGCACAGCGTTCGGACGACATTATGCGGATGTCTGGACACTTTGAAATAAAACGAAAATTAGCAGTTTTTAGAGCGCAGCTCTTAGGCGCCCGGTTCCGGCTTGAACGGCGTCGGCGTCGCCGTCGGCGTCGCCGTAACCGCGCGGTGTATTATGGGTAAATTTCCCCGCTAAATTTAGTGGACAATTTTCCCCGCTAAATCTAGCGGAAAAATTTCTCCGCTAAATCTAGCGGAAAAAGTTACCCGCGCAACTTGTTAAAGGGGAGCTCCGGCATATATTTGAAAGTTATGAACTCAAGATGTTTTCTGAAAGCGCGAGAAATTGAGCCAAATGTATTTCCCCGAAGAATTTAAAATAGACTGGCATTAGAAAGAATAAACCATGGGACGAAAGACGACGCATAGCCTAAACCAAACACAATCCGCAAAACCACATAAGCTCACTATCACCCAGACTTGTGCCCATCTTCAGTACTACACTCAAGATACTGTATTTCAAATACTTGTTGTAGTATTTTGGTATCTTGCAAATACATTTTGTCTAGATATGATTTGCTACTCTACCTTAATTATATTTCTTACTATCTTGTACTCAGCATTTAAACTATATCTTTCAACCTTCGGAAATATTTGTACAGAACAACCTACAGAACGGATCTTTAGACTTCAGAGAAGAGCTAAACCGATTGGCAGACTTGGAGGCGGGCGACCAAACACAGGGCAGCAAACAAAGCACGAGTAAAACCTCAGTGTCCGAATGTTAACAAAAATACCAAATGGATAGCCCGAAGTACGCCCGCCTTTGTGTGCCCTCGTGTCCGTTTTTTTTTTTTCCAAGTTGTCTTTGAATTGTATGTTACGCTTAGAGCTAGTGAAGTGCTGGTGACGTCATTGGGATTTTACAGGTTTGTCTGCTAAAGCTAAACTGGTTCCGTCAGCGGAAGATTGTGACACCGACGCTTCGTACGGTCACAATGAACCGTTTTCGGAAATCGCCGGTTCAGGGGGTTCTGGTATGAAAATGCGCGAGCACGTTTTCAAGTGAGCACGAGCACCCCCCCCCCCCCCCCCCCCCTCGGGCAAGGAAGCTGGATCCTGCTAGTTTTATTGAGCTGCAGCGACCTAGATTTGACTTCTCCAAAGCCCCTCGTGTACCTATTGTGGCATAACAAATTTGGTCTCGTTCAAAAGCGTTTCTTTCATCTCCTTCCGAATGCGCACATTGTTTCATTCTCAGAATACTCCAACATAGTTTTCCGCCAGGTGGAGCCAGAGATACAAAGCGGTTTCGTGGACACACTCTTCTGCTACATGTGTTTCCCTCTTGACCTTCCTAATATATTTTCGGACCGTCTGAAAGTACTGGCGCTCCTCGCCCTTGGCTGGGAAGTCAAAATACTCGCTCTCTGTTGTTCATCCGCGACAGAGGCTGCTGTCTTCTAGCCGATGCGTGCGCGTTTGTCATTCACACGGGTACTCATCAAGTCTGGCTGCCTAATCAACTTCTAGTTCGGCTGTTAGGGACATGCAGTGTCTGACTATGTGTCAAGTCCGCCAAATCGCTTTGAGGTATATTACAAACGTATTGCGGAAAGCGTCATGAGCCGAGCCTACCGCCAAGCTATAGCACGCCAGTTGCCATGCCTACAATACCTTGGTCCCCTCTGTTCCTAATATCTTTCGGTACACATTATGTTGCATATACCGAATTATTTCAAGGTAAACTTGGATTGGCGCAGCTAAGTCGTTTCTTGGAAGTCAAAGATCACAACAGAATGTGATTTTCAGCGAAATCATCACAAGTAGAACACCCCCTTTCGACTTTTTAATGCGAAAGCATGAACTGGGGGGGGGGGGGGGGTCCCATGGAGCGAGCCGACGTCATCAGCTCTGAAGCCGCGCCAAACGTCACCTTAAATCCTTTCTCCAAGTAAACCCAGCTTCCAGCTGTGAAACCACGCGAAAAGCCTAGCCAAACGGCACCTAGTTTCCCCGATCCCGAAGGAGCGGAGTAAAGTTGATGGATTTCGGGTTCGATCCCATTGGCAGGCGCGCGTCGACGAGGCTCCCATTGGCCGCTGCGCGTAAGTTTCAACGACCGCCACCCTATGGCGCTGCATGTCCGTCAGCGCGCCGATAACACGAAACGTCCAAGCTTCGAGCGGCGAGAAGAGGGCGCGCTCTGCCATCGACGCAAATACGCTGCAGACGAAATAAGGGAGCGGAAGAATAACGTGTATGCTTTCGCATTCACAACTCATAAAAAGTTCTTAGGCGCCTTTTTTTATTTTTATATTACTAGCTTGCAAATATACTTGCCGAGTATCTTCGAATGTAATTCAATTACTTTTTCAAAGTATTTGTACTCCTCTGAAGATTATTCGCAGTAGAAGTAATTTATATACTACTCTAAATACATTTTCAAATGGGTATTTAGTATGTTATCTCAAATACGTTTGTTGAGTATTTTGCACAACACTGCTATCACCACGACGCACAACGGCTTGTATGAGCAAGAGCCTGCTCCCATTGACATTATCATGGCGAATACTACAGGTCGCTTTGGAGCGTGCCAGGATCGACCTTTCTGGAGCACGCCTATTTCACTGGTTGATGGGGATCGAGACGGGCATGTTCGTTTCGTCCTTTTGAATCAGCTCCCACTCTATGCCTCGATCCGGATTCGAGAAAGCTCTCTGCGTCGATTTCGGTAGATTCGACCGGAAGCCTGACCGTCAGCCCTCGGCGCGCACACATGACTTCCTTTCTCGTAGGGCATGTCACTTCGGAAGAATTAATAAAGGCTGTTCGCAAAGTGCCGCCCGCTTTACTGCCGCTGCCGCTTGATAAAAGTTCGTCCTCAAGTTGCTCGAGCAGCTCCTCCAGCAGTAGCGGCTTGAGTAGCAGCGATGACGAGGATTGCATGTATGTCCCGCATGAATTCGACCGCCTTTTCGGACCTCCGCAGAATAGGCTGTAACTCGAGACGGAGTTTGACACCGTTCATGAGTATTCTGAGGAAGAAGCAAGTGGGCTACGCTGATGCACATCGCTTATCGACACGCATCTTTCACATCATGATTCACATCACTCGTGCGTTGAACAGGTGTTGTTAGCTCCGCGATTGCGAAACATGTGCTTTGAGATCCGGGACCGCGTGAAGGGGATTCCCGGAAACGTGAATGACGGGAAGACGTCCGCCGATCCCGGAGGAGTGGTCATGTTCCACAGAATATAGGAAGGCGCAGCGACTCCTTTCGGATCGCGTGCTGCATCTCAGATCTGGTCTACTGATCCTGCATGGCGCGCTCCAAAACGACCAGTGGAATTTGCCATAATGCCTTAGTTGTAGAAACCTCGTAAAAGGGGGCACCCCCTCACTCACATTAGTCCGCCTCCTGTAGCCTCCTGTAAGGTCCTTATATAGACTCCTGTCGTTTGAGGTGCCATCTAAATTTTTGTTTCAGAACTGTTCCAGAGTACGGTGAAACGCCATCAAGACGCTGTACTTCGAAACATTCATATTCCATAGAATACACTGCAGTTACCATAACAGCCGTCCCCCAGATATGGTGAAGCATTGAACGATGGGAAGCGAGCAGGGGGGAATGGGGTTCTGTTTGTGCAAGCAGCGTCTATGGGCAGCTCCGTAACTGAGCTAATCTATTTCAAAGATTAAAAAAGCGAACTGAAACAAGGACGAAACAAGGAACTTACAACTGAATTTATTGAGAGAAAAAAACATTCGCTCAGACAGAATGTCCTTCACCATACCGATAACACCATACCAATAACATGCCATAAACCGATAACGTATATTCACACTGTAAAACAAGAGGAGCGCGACTTAGACTTCAAAGGGCCTAAATGCCCTGACACATAGCCTCTTCTTCGCTGACAAAGCCTGGCATATCGCCACGAGACGCGGCCGCCGAAAGTGAAAAGGTAGAGCGGAAAACAACGGATGAGAGGAGGGGCATGTAACGGGCGCCATGCTGCGGCGAGAGAACGAAACACACTTGTCCCGAGCGATGAAATGTCCGCTCGTGCTCCTCGCGTTCCTCGGGCTACCGCTTCTTTTCTCGTCTGGTTTGAAAACCACGTTTCGGGTCCTCGCCGCTGCACAAGCTGTGCGCAGCTGACTACTGGCTCCCCGAGAAATGCTCTGTGCTACCAGACCCTCGCGCTCCAAATCTGCGACCGGGCACTCTATGGCTCCGTCGTCGAACTGCCAGGCTTTGTGAGTATAGAGGAGGCTACTGCTAAAGTCAAATTTGGGGGTTTTACGTGCCAAATTAACGACGGGCATCTGGCACGTCACAGCGGAGGACTGAGGATTAATTGGACCACCTGGGGATCTTTTGACGTGCAACCGAAAGCTCGGTTACACGGCGCCTTCTCCGCAATAATCCTCCGTCAGATTGCTGGCACCTCGGCCGGGATTCGAACCCGCCACGTGGGGATCCGTAGGCCAGCGCTCTCGCCTCGGAGCCACCGAGGCGGCCGAGGCTACGGCTGACACTACCATTAGTCCTCTGAAGGACTAAATGGGACGGGAGCAACTTTCGCGCCCCTCCCGTTAGTCCTTCAAAGTTGAACCTCTAGGACTAACCTTTGTACTCTTGCATCTAGGCCACTGAGACTAAATGTTATATATATATATATTATCGCTGGGGTAGATCTTTTCTATGCTCATTCAGTCACATTTTAACAGCGCTTATTTCACATTTGCACATGGATTACAGCGCACTTGAATACGGTGTAGTGTAAGGACCGGCGCGGCTCGGCAGTGCGAGCTTGTGAGGCTGCGCGTGTAGACAGCTATCCCGGCGCTGCAGTCGACAGGGCACAACGATATTGGATTAGCTCAGTTACGGAACTGCTCATAGACGCTGCATTGAGAAATTTAGCCACTGCAGTACAACCGCTAACCTGGGGTTTTTAACGTGCATCAAGCAGTAGTGATCACAGGAACGCGTGCCGGTACGAATGTCATCCAGATCGAGCTACTGCGTTTATTTTTTCAAAGCCTTATATA